TCCATACGCAGAGCTAGAGAGACAAAAGTTCAACTTGACATGATAAAGAAGATAATTGGATAAATTTATGCCACATTTGTTTCTTATTAATGTAAGAATAAGAATAAAAAATATTTTCGTTACGAGCCCCCCACACAAGAGATAAAAATTCAAATATGATGATTTGATGTGATTAATAACGATCATATTTTTCATTTTAATAACCAAATAATGGAAATCAACATGGGCTTAATTATGCGTTCTTATGCACAACGCGTTTAAAATTTAATTTCTCTCAAAGTTTTATTTCGCAATTCATAGGTGATTAGAAAAGTTCGACGAACTAAGGATTTGCAGAAAAAATGGACTAGTTTGGAGAAAATAAGATGACTAAAAAATAACTAAAGTTGGGCATGACTCAAAGGATATCAAATTGAAGGACTGAGGATTTAAACGGTACATTTTGAAGGTTGAAGCTCAAAGACCTACACTGGTCAGAGTGGGGACCCCTACTGATACTTGCTATTTCTATTTTCTTTCTTTTTATTATTATTATTACAATTATCGCTATTACGTGTGTTGTGACAGTTAAACTTATATGTTTAAGACATTGTTTTGTTTTGTCCGTGTATTAAATTTGTATTCTATTTAATTAGGATATGTTTGACGTAAATTTTATAAAAAAAGAAAAAAAAAAAAAGATTGTATATTGACGTGTGAAATTATTTTATTAGAAGCATTTCATATTGAAAATAAGTTTTAAAAAATATGTATCAATTAGAAGCTTACAAAGCTCCATGAGTAACTTATTAGGCATTATCTGAATATAGTTAATGATAATAAATTACAATGAGACATAATTATGTATGTGATCAGTGACTTAAGCACGACCATAGTGTTTTTCAATCTAAAAAATAATAATTTCTACTTTCTTTTTAATGTATTTTAAGATATTTCTTAGATGGGTGATTAAATTGTTGACTATTTTATTATCAAATGAATATATAATTAGGTGAATTCAACTCTAACCTCCCCAATTAGTTTAGTGATAATATTATCAAATCAAATCCTCCCCCACAGAAGAAGCTTGGGAGAGAGAGGCCTACTGCTTTTGTCGTAAATTATAATCTATAAAACTGGCAACAACAAATGAGCCTGTCTGGGAGTGATTTTGAAAATTGATTTTTTGCCTGTTAGGAAAAAAGTGGAGTCCACCCGTGAGAGAAGAAGTCAAATATGACGACTGAAATATTGAAATAACGATCAAAAAATTATTCACTCCGAAACAGGCTTATAAGTACCCAAAATTTTATTGACTTTAATTTTAATTTGTCTATCTTCAACTTTATTAAAAAGTTACTAAAAAATTAATTTTCCTTTCTAGTTAAAGTTAAATATTAATTTTAGATAAACACCCCATCACTACTATATTTTAATTATCTACATATTTGATGGAACTCATTATTTTTCCTCCTAAAAAGCTACTAATAATTTTAAACGAATACACCATTTGTGTCAATTGAATTGCTGAACTTCAATTTTAGCTGTAAGACTGTAATTTCGCTGAAAATTGATGATCATTTTATGAAATTTAACCCTAAATAATGCATAAGACGAAGATTAACTAGGATGAAGGATTGTCTAGAATTTTTACGAGGCAAGACGTCCCTTCCACAGATTTTTGTGAGGCAAGGCCGAAGCGGCCCTCCCGTCCTCCGTCTCGCCATGGATTTCCATGAGGCTAGATTGGGCGGGACTGATCCATTTACTCATGGATTTTTAATGCATAAGAGAGGAGCATGACATTTCGCCATCCCTGGAGATTAATGTATTGGCGCGATGGAATCACCACTATTTTCTTTGAAGTTTCCTTTTTGTCCTCTGTACCTTGTTCATAATTTCTGCAGGCAACGGATAATTAAAAAATTGAGAATTTCAATAAGAGACTAAAGCAGGAACACATTACCAAAAAAAAAAAAAGGAGGTTTGGGAAGGACATCAACACAATCTCAATCTCAGTGAATTTTGAGGCTCCACTAAAGCAGAAACTTAGCCCCTATTTGGCCTTTACTTCTTAAAACTCATTTTCAACCACACATTTCTTAAAATTCACAATTTCTATTAACTTATCAATCGCACATTACGCCAAATTTTATCAAAATAATTTTTATCCAAACGAAACAGGAGCTTAGGGTAATTTCCCAATAAAATTTTAAAAGCCACTAAACATAATACATACAAGCAATGAGCAGAAATCCTGTGACTCTCAAAATTATGTCTTAGAAAAAAGTTGCTAATATAACACCATAGTATACATACCCATAACAAATAGCTAGTTCTACATTTCACCAAAAAGCAGTCCAAACACTGAAACAACAAATACAGGATGATCTCATTCCTCGGACAAATTACCATACTGCCATGGATTAAATTCTATTGACTGAACATCGTCTAGGACGATTGCATCTGAAGTATCAACAGTATTTCGATGCTCTCTGTACTTGCCATTGAAATTATATATTTCCAACTCTCCCCATGGCGTAGTTGTAACTTCATCGGTCATATCAAACCATTTTGGCTTAAAATTATGGCCTTTTGCTTCTCGATCTCTCTTTTCAGCTCTTTGTTTCTCCTCCAAACTAGAAAGATGGAAGCACAGGCGTGTTATAACACAATATCAAAATATGAACGACAAAGATAATGAGACAAACATTGAATTGAGAGGGTAAAGGGCCAAAGCAGAGAAAGGATCCAAAATAGAAAAACCAGGAACCCCAACTTCCCATGTACATACAAAAATGAAAATAGACTAACTAAAACAATTCAATCCAACAAGGTTATGATAACAGTGCATTGGCTTCAGAAAAATTCAAATATTTTTCTGAGGTTCCAGAACCTATCATATTCTACCTGAAATATTCATGTAAAGGCAACTTTGACTGAACGACAGTTAGGAAAAGAAAAGATATTATCAGAATGCAGAAAATTAACATGGAAAATAGAAAAATGCATCAAAGAATAGGAATATATTATTTTTTACTCAACATTACTCAAGATGCAGAAAGCAAACACAGGAAAAAAGCCAAAAAGAACTCTAAAAATTTATAGATCTTGACGGGTCTAGTCTAAGGCCGAAAAAAAGCACTTGCTGTCTTAAAAAAAAAAACAAAAAAAACTAAGTTCTTAAACTGAGTTGCAGAACTGGATTTTAGCAGTTTGGGATTGAGGGGATGAATTTTAAGGCGTTCTGCAATTTGTTATTCTATGGAACCATATAATTCAAATTGATAATGCGGTCAATTGAAACATTAGAGACAAATTTCAAACTGAAAAATTTAGGAAACTATGATAAAAATAGCAAACATGACCATAACCAACCCTTTTTTATTATTCAAATGCTTGCCAATTATTTAATTTAAGTAATTTAGAACCACTGATCGATTTGTGCATGTGGAAAGGAGGAATGCACACTACACCTACATTACATGGAAATAGTTGAATGTAGAGAGAGAGAGAGAGAGAGAGACCTGCTTTTTTCAGCACCAGCTTTGGAGAGGTCACCCTTCTCAAGTGCCCATCTATCAGGACGCAANGGGATCAAATCTGACTGGTTGATCGGGAACAAAAATCGCGCCAGGGGCAATTTCGTCATTTTTATCGACTGTGTCGGAATTGGATGGAATATGGCAGTTTGATCTGAAATAAAAATCGTGCCGGGGGCAATTTCGTCATTTTTCTCGACTGTGTCGGAATGGGCTCAAATTTGACAGTTTGATCGGAAACAAAAATCTAGCCAGGGGCAATTTCGTCATTTTTCTCGACTGTGTCGGAATTGGCTGAAATTTGACGGTTTGATCTGAAAGAAAAATCTCGCCGGCGGCAATTTAGTCATTTTTCTCGACTGTGTCGGAATGGGCTCAAATTTGACAGGTTGATCGGGAACATAAACCGCGCCGGGGGAAATTTCTTCATTTTTCTCGACTGTGTCGGAATTGGCTGAAATCTGGCAGTTTGTTCTAAAATAAAAATCCCGCCGGGGGCAATTTCTTCATTTTTCTCGACTGTGTTGGAATGGGCTTAAATTTGACAGGTTTATCGGGAACAAAAGTCGCGCCGGGTGTGATTTCGTCATTTTTCGAGACTGTGTCGAAATTGGCTAAAATTTGACTGGTTGAACGGAAACAAAAATCGCGGC